TAAAAACTCTTCACTGCTTTCAGTAACCTACCTCCTACACCATACACTTGCAACATCTGCCACATTGCCCCCCTATCCACCCTGTCATACGCCTTTTCCAAATCCATAAATGCCACAAAGACCTCTTTAGCCTTATCTAAATACTGTTCACTTATATGTTTCACTGTAAACACCTGGTCCACACACCCCCTACCTTTCCTAAAGCCTCCTTGTTCATCTGCTATCCTATTCTCCGTCTTACTCTTAATTCTTTCAATTATAACTCTACCATACACTTTACCAGGTACACTCAACAGACTTATCCCCCTATAATTTTTGCACTCTCTTTTATCCCCTTTGCCTTTATACAAAGGAACTATGCATGCTCTCTGCCAATCCCTAGGTACCTTACCCTCTTCCATACATTTATTAAATAATTGCACCAACCACTCCAAAACTATATCCCCACCTGCTTTTAACATTTCTATCTTTATCCCATCAATCCCGGCTGCCTTACCCCCTTTCATTTTACCTACTGCCTCACGAACTTCCCCCACACTCACAACATGGCTCTTCCTCACTCCTATAAGATGTTATTCCTCCTTGCCCTATACACGAAATCACAGCTTCCCTATCTTCATCAACATTTAACAATTCCTCAAAATATTCCCTCCATCTTCCCAATACCTCTAACTCTCCATTTAATAACTCTCCTCTCCTATTTTTAACTGACAAATCCATTTGTTCTCTAGGCTTTCTTAACTTGTTAATCTCACTCCAAAACTTTTTCTTATTTTCAACAAAATTTGTTGATAACATCTCACCCACTCTCTCATTTGCTTCACCACTCTCTTAACTTCTCTCTTTTTCTCCATATACTCTTCCCTCCTTGCATCACTTCTACTTTGTAAAAACTTCTCATATGCTAACTTTTTCTCCCTTACTACTCTCTTTACATCATCATTCCACCAATCGCTCCTCTTCCCTCCTGCACCCACTTTCCTGTAACCACAAACTTCTGCTGAACACTCTAACACTACATTTTTAAACCTACCCCATACCTCTTCGACCCCATTGCCTATGCTCTCATTAGCCCATCTATCCTCCAATAGCTGTTTATATCTTACCCTAACTGCCTCCTCTTTTAGTTTATAAACCTTCACCTCTCTCTTCCCTGATGCTTCTATTCTCCTTGTATCCCATCTACCTTTTACTCTCAGTGTAGCTACAACTAGAAAGTGATCTGATATATCTGTGGCCCCTCTATAAACATGTACATCCTGAAGTCTACTCAACAGTCTTTTATCTACCAATACATAATCCAACAAACTACTGTCATTTCGCCCTACATCATATCGTGTATACTTATTTATCCTCTTTTTCTTAAAATATGTATTACCTATAACTAAACCCCTTTCTATACAAAGTTCAATCAAAGGGCTCCCATTATCATTTACACCTGGCACCCCAAACTTACCTACCACACCCTCTCTAAAAGTTTCTCCTACTTTAGCATTCAAGTCCCCTACCACAATTACTCTCTCACTTGGTTCAAAGGCTCCTATACATTCACTTAACATATAATAATAATTATATTATAACATATAATAATAATTATTATTATTATTATAATACTACTTATGTACTAATAATAATGATAATACATAATAATAATTATGTATAATATAATAATAATTTAATACTATATAATAATAATAAAATATAATAACATATAATATAATGATACATAATAGAACAATAATAATAATTATAATAATAATATTACGTATGTACTGCGTATAATTTAGTTTGACAACACCACCACAATGCTTACCAGTGCACAGTGTTACAGGCTCCCTCGTGGGCAAGGAAATTTTTCTGATTTCCTTATTTTGTGAGTTAATTCGCCAGATTTCTTTCTTTAACCATGGGTCCTAAGGAAGCAAGTGAAAAGAACGTGCCGAGAAGAAAAAGAGGTGATTTTCGGGAAATTAAAGAACAAATGATTAAAAAACAAAGCCCAGGCGGGGGTTTTGAGGACCTTAGCGAGCTCAGAAAAAGGTCCCCCCCTCTACTATGTGACCTATGATTTTAATAATAATAATAATCTACTATTTTTACAAACAAAAGCAGGGTTTTAAAGGAAGTGCCAGCCAAGTGCGTTCTTTAATTTTAAGCAGGGATTGTTATTTAAAAAGGGGTTTAAAAGCTACTGTTGCAGGTTTGGCGAGAAACAGCTCGTGGAGTAAAAGTGTAGGGAAAAACTAAAAAAATTGAAATGTTCTTAAGAAAAAGTGTGAACCCTGCGGACATGCCGCTCTGCTTTTCTTTCCAAGGTATGTAAAGTTGTATGTCACCAATCAAATTCAGTTTGCCTCACAAACTCCGTTTTCTTTATAACACCTTTGACGTTTTCATGGAGAATGTGTGACCATCCCCACCACAATCCCCCCCCACGTCCTGAAATGACATATTCAATTTTTCTAGAGTGTATTCAGGTCTCTGTGTTATTTTATTGTTTATTTTGTAAAAAGATTAGGTGATGAAAGATTGGATATCAGATTGGAGGGAGAGAGTTGGGGAGGTAAATTTTTCAGATTTTTGGGAGTGGAGTGTCAGCGGATGGGTCTATGAAAGATGGGGAACTAAATTAGAGGGGAAAAGGGTGAGGGGTGCATTTAGGAGTCTGTGGAGAAAAAAGAACTTTGCCCTTGGAGGCAAAGGGGGGAAATGTATGAGAGTATAGTTTTCCAAAACGCCTTATATGGGTGTAAAGCATGGGTGATGAATGTTGAGGAGGAGAAGGCTGGAGGAAGTGGGGGGTGTCTGTCTGAGAGCAATGTGTGGTGTGAATATAATGCAGAAAATTTTGTATTTTGGGAAAGTTGGGAGGAGGTGGGGATTACCAAAACTGTTGTTCCAAAGGGTGGGAAGGGTTGTTGGGGGGGGTTTTCGGACATGTGGAGAGAATGGAGCAAAAACATAATAACTTCAAGAGTTTTTCAGTCTGTAGTGGAAGGAAGGGGGGAGGGGGGCCCTGGGAAAATGGTTGGAGGAGGGGGGTTTTAAAGGAGGTTTTTTTGCGAGGGGTTGGACCCAGCAGGATGGTGAGGTGTTTGATAGGGGGAATGGAGAAAAAATGGTTTTTATACTTGACGTGCTGTTGGGGTGGGCAAAGAAAAATTTTTGAAGGGATTCAGGGAAACCGGCGGCCGGACTTGAGTCCGGGAAAAGGGAAGTACAGTGCCTGCCTTGAAGGAGGGGTTGTTAATGTTGCAGTTAAAAAATGTAGTTTTAAGCACCCTTTGCAAGACAGTGATGGAGTGAATGATGGTGAAGTTTTTCTTTTTTGGGCCCCCCCCCGCTTGGTGGGAATCGGCCCCGTTGAAAAAAATAAATAAATAAAAATTTTGCATAAATAAATTTAAACCTGAGTTGATATTTTAAATCAAATAAAAGTTTTTTCTCTATAAGGGGTTACAATGTGGGGGGTTTCAGATTTTGGTTATTTTGTGGTTTACATGTAATAAAAAAACTAATTACAATTTGCTGAATTGATACTTTCTTGTCCATATTACTACCTCATATTTTTTTTTTTTTCTATAATTTAATTATTACAATATTAATAAAATTTCCATTTTTACTTCAATACAAATTTTCTCTTAACATTTTTGACATATTTAATAACTATTACTTTTCTAATTACCTTAACCTGGTTTTAATACCACATTTACACTTGAGTACTCTTAATTATTGTACTGCCAAAAAAAACCTAAAAATTTTAATACCAGTGCAAATGAATAAAATATTACTTTTTTCCCTTTTTTTTTAATCATTATTATTGTAAAAATTTTATTAAACACCATATTTATACCAGTCGTTTTTTCTTTGTACATTTAAACATTATTTTAATTTCCCCTAACATTTTGTTGCCCAAATTTTTAAGTTTGAATATTCAACTCCAACCTTTTTATTATCCTTTGTACCTGTGTACCCGTCTCCCCTTTACTATTTATATTTAACCAAG